GGCCTCTCTGAGGGGAAGTGATGCAAGACAGTAGCTCTTTGTTTAGTGGCATTACTTGGTCCCATGCCAGTGGCCCCACTGAATGAAATGGACCGGTTGGCTTGTTTGCTGGCTGGGTGACTGGCTTCATGGTGGACAGGCTGACTGCCTGGCTGACTTGCTGGTAGGCAGGCAACTGCGGCACAAAAAATCGTGGCTAATCCCTCTTCCTCTTCTTCTTTCTGTCTTTCTTTCTCTTTCGCTTCCCTGGCCTCAAAGAAACACTTAAGTCGTGAAATATTTTGTTGCATAAAAAAATCTCCACCACTTTGAATTGACATACTGGAAGTGAAAAGTATTTTGAGGTTTGACAATAGTTTTCAAAGCTGATTCTTTCATGAAGAACTTGAAAGATATTTTTAATTGAATATCTTTAGTTGGGGCTGAAGCTCTCATTGACTGTTTTGGATGGATGCATGTTAAATCAGAGAAGCTTCTCAGAATCCTAAACAACAGCTCCTCCTCTGCTCCCTGTTCTCCTCCTCCTCTCTTCTCCTCTCTGCTTTCCCCGCCACTTCCCAAGTGTTGAAATGTGTGTTTTTCCTGCAGCTCAAGCCGTCCTGTCACACTTAGGTTCATTTTACTTTTGAATTCCACAGAGGAAAGAGAGCAGGGGAAGGGAGGGGGGCAGAGGAGGAGATACTGTGTGTGTTTGGACATCTGTGCATGTGTGTGTGTGTGTGTGTGTGTGTGTGTGTGTGTGTGTGTGTGTGTGTGTGTGTGTGTGTGTGTGTTGTGTGTGTGTGTGTGTGTGTGTGTGTGTGTGTTGTGTGTGTGTGTGTGTGTGTGTGTGTGTGTGTGTTGTGTGTGTGTGTGTGTGTGTGTGTGTGTGTGGGTGGGTGTGTGGGTGTGTGTGTTTGTGTGTGTGGTGGTGTGTGTGTGTGGGTGGGTGTGTGTGTGTGGGTGGGTGTGTGTGTGTGTGTGTGGGTGGTGTGTGTGTGTGTGGGTGGAGGCTACATGATTTTGCAATCTGCAAGTCTAATTGTCAGGGGATTCCATTTCCCAAACAGTGCACTTGCCATGTCTGCCCCATAAGAGTGTGCATTCCTGCAGACCTGCGCAGGATCTCATGTGCTTACGAGTATAATAAACCCCTCCCCAACTCACACTTACAGACACACAGACACACAGACACACAGACACACACACACACACACACACACACACACACACACACACACACACACACACACACACACACACACACACACACACCACACACACACACACACACACACACACACACCACACACACACACACACACACACACACATCACACACACAATCAAATGGTGATTTCATTCACCAGAAATTCAAAGAAATATTGCAACACTTTTTTTAGAATTGGTTGATGTGGAGAAGTCAAATTGTGTCATTAGTTCTAGATTTCAACATTGTTTTCTTTCTTTGGAAGACTATTTTTTAAGTCATCTGGTCCTTGTCCTCTCGGCTGTGGTGTAATGACACCCAATTACATAATTAGAAAATTCAGTTTATCTCAATACTGCAAACTCTTAAAATGTCTATATAGTAGAAAGTAGAAAATGGAAACACGCATTAATTTACATTTCTTTGCGCTGGATGCAGACTTGATTTTTGTCTACGGGTTTATGAGAAGAATCCTGTTCCCCAAATGCTATATCTCATTTGTGACAGACACATTTGAAATAGCCAAAATGTATATGATGTTGTGAAAACAACGGAAAATAGTCTATAGTGCTCACCATGAGGTCGGGCACAGAGCCTTTCATCGCAAGGCTGGGTGAAAGGCTCTTAGTTTTATTAGTGCACTTGCTGGTGCTAATCAACATTTAGATTAGATATACTTTATTTTCCCAATTTGGGAATTTTTTCAATGTGTTTTGTGGGAACACATTGCACCACAAGGTCCTGCAAGAGTTTCAACATTGAATAGGCAGAGGCCATCTTTATAGAATCCACCAAGCCCCAGCACCTACCCCGTCCTTAAGATGTGTGATTGTGCTACCTCTTCACCTTTGGGTTTTCTACCCTGGAACGGTATATGCTTTCGTTTAGCATCACAACAAATACTGGTAAAGGTTGCAAATCATTTAAAGGCCAACATTTAGTTTTTTTCTGATTCTGACTTTAGCTACAACTCATGCTGTTTTGATGCTTGCTAATGTTGCCCCTGCAAATTAAAATCTCTATCAGCAACAGATTGCAAACTTGACCCCTTTTTTGTATTAAAAAAAATGTATCTATCGGCATCTATACATTATATTCTGTAAACAAAAAAACAGGAGGAGGGTTATGAACAGGGGTGAAAAGAAAAGAGGAAAGAATGTGCATGTAGCTGGGTCGACGGTGCAAGGGGGTTTGGTTGAGCGCTACACCAGATGTGAAAATGACTTTTGCAATATGTCATCTAAACAGCAAACTGCGGGGGATTTACTTGAGCTTGCTTGAAGCACATAAGTGCTGGAAAGACACAATTACAGTTAGCTTCTTGAAAATCTCAAACCAGCTGAGGGGAAACATAATTCATTGCAGAAATTGGCTTGTAGATTTCCCCACAGCCTCAGAACATTGGTCTAACATATGTTCATATGTTTATGTTCAGATTCACGCTGGAAAGTGGCTGTTTTTCCCTTTTTTCAATTATATCGTGGGTCACATTGATGTATGTTGGTATGGTGACAAAGCGGCAGATGCAGCAGATAAGAAGACCAACATGAGATGGGCCAAGTCAGAATCTGGCAATTGGTGGTGGCACCTGATGATTCCTTTGTCCTGCGTTATCGCAACACAACCTCGTCAGTAGGACTCCTATGCATTGATGCATTGATGGTTTAATCCACACACACACACACACACACACACATACACACACATACACACGCTTTTTGTGTCATACATGTCCTGACTCAAACAAAGTCCCATGCAGCCTAAAGGCCACATACTTCTAGTTCTTAAACATGGAGCACATTTAATGCATTTCAATGTCTTAATTTCTGGTTAATTTCAATAGCTAAATAATTATTCTCTCTTGGACAATAATGTAACACTGTCCCATTTGCATTTGAAAATGCAGAAGTAAGAAACTACTGGCACAACATAAATACTTTCCTATAACAACAGCTGATGTGTGGGTGTGACAACCTTATTCTTGATGGTACAATAACGCTGTAAATGAGGCAGAGCACAAACATGTGGCGGTAGCAGCAGTCTGACATACTAGCTCACACACATTGCTTAGCAAATTGAAAAAAAACACAGTAAACATACACCATTTTTTTCCTGAAGATTCAAACATTAGTTTCATCGGTTTTCTAGCTGCATTGTCTCCTGCGGTAAACCAAACCACTTTTCGTAAGCCAAACCACAGCACAAATAATTATTTGCATGCTCAGTTTCTGACCCAGCAGTGGTTGAAACTGTGAATCCAGCCTGCCATAATACAAGCTGATAATAAATGGTTTCTCCTTCAGCTGCCTGTGCCGGAGCTTCCTGTGTTGATGATATGTATGTGGCCCGGTGGGGTGGAGATGACAATGTAGGTGTGGAGGAAGTCAAATGCAGGTGTTTGTGTGTGTGTGCTGTCCCAGGTGGGTGCTGACAGACCGGCAGGTAAACAGGCAGGTTGGTCTCTGATCTCACCTGTTAGAGCAGACTCTGCAGCGCCTGCAGGGCTTCTGCAGCGGAAACGTGTTCTTTATGTGATGCTGGAAGGCCAACTCTGTTCTACACTTTGTTCTTTTTATGTGCTCTTTTTTCCCTTTTTTAGCTGCCTCTTCTCTACCTTTCTCACACACTCTGTGGTGTTCATGTGTCCCGCTTTACTCTCCCAGGTGCACTCTGGTAAACACCCAGGAAACAAGGGTACAGAGGGGAAGGGCATAAGGGAAGGAAAAGCGCCTCAGGGGTAACAGCAGTGCAGGTGGGCTGGGGGTGGGGGGTGATGACAGTGTGTGTGTGTGTGTGTGTGTTTGTGTGTGTGTGTGTGTGTGTGTGTGTGTGTGTGTGTGTGTGTGTGTGTGTGTGTGTGTGTGTGTGTGTGTGTGTGTGGGTGTGTGCGTGCGTGCGTGTGTGTGCGTGCGTGTGCGTGTGACAGGAAGATTTTGTGTGCTCCAGCTTCTTAAGGAGGTGCTTTAGAGAGAAAGGAATGTTACACATCCAGATTATAACAGACCACCCCTATAAACTAGGAGGAAGTCAGTTTAACCTGTGAGTCAATCGCACACAAACAAACACAGCAGCCATCAAGCATTGCTCTGATTTGAAGTGGCCATCTGTCTCATGTTACATCGTTCAGAGGAAGTCTCTAAATGATTTCCTGTTACTTATGTAATGTTTTTTTTCAGTTTAAGGTCAAGCTGCTTTATTTGGCCTTCAGTGACCTAACAGTGTTTTATAGAGAGCAATCTATTCAGACACAGGAAGCAGGGGACCTCAGGAAGTTGAAGTGCTGATGTAAAACAACTCAAGCCCATAAACATTCCTTTATAGAATGAATCGTAGTTAACGTAATCAGCATTTAGTAACTAAAGCATCTTTATAAGAAGCCTATAATGTGTTTAAAAGGTATGCTGAAATACACTGTACATATGAATGATTACTTTAGGACCTAAGCAGTTTAGGACCTAAGATTTCCTTCAAGATGTTGGTCCTTATTTGTCAAATTGTAATGTTAGGACATGCTGTTATATCTATATTTGACTATGTAACTTGGAAGTTTTATGAGTATTTTTGTCCAAAATCCCACTTGGAGCTTTACGTCAGTGGTTCTGAGGTATAGTGCATGGTGTGTGTGTGTGTGTGTGTGTGTGTGTGTGTGTGTGTGTGTGTGTGTGTGTGTGTGTGTGTGTGTGTGTGTGTGTGTGTGTGTGTGTGTGTGTGTGTGTGTGTGTGTGTGTGGTGTGTGTGTGTGTGTGTGTGTGTGTGTGTGTGTGTTATTTGGTTGAAAACAGCTCACAAAAGTAACGACACAACAGCCAGGTATATTTAACAATATATATTTCCATTGTCAATGTACATTCCATTTCGACATAAGCTTTCTTCACAAACAAAAGGTTGGCATCTAAATAAATACTATATAAAATAGAACTTCAAAATAAATATATCTATAAAGGGAACCTTTTATATGAGATTTTTTTTCTTTTTGTTATATCTAAACAAAACAAAAGCACGGATTTCGTTCTTAATCCCCAACATTGACATTGCAAAGGCATAAAAGGAATGGAGTAGTATCACCCAGCTGTATGAGACTTTTCCTTTCATTTGGGTTGAAAATAAAATAAATCAGTGCCCGAAATTTGAGCGACACAAAGGGGTATGGATGTGTAAAAGTCACAGCATTGTAGCAAAGGGTAAAAAAAAAAGAAAAATAACGTTTTTAATGATTGAGTTGTCATTGTTGGATGATTATTCCACACCTTTAACAGGCTAGCGAGCACATGTAAAAGTATAAAGCTAACGTGCAGTGACAGAGCAGAGAAATAAAATAAAGGCAGCGACTGTTGAAAAAAGAGGTCCATTGGTTAAAATGATGGCACAGAACTACAAATCGAGAGGGAAAACAGTCGAGAAAGGGAGAGGAAGAGAGACAGGCTTGTCTTTCTCTCCCGTCTCTGTGGTATGACACGTTTATGCACAGCAGCTGTGTTTGTCAATCAAGGCCAGGGGTGTTTGTTAAACTTGTTCTCAGGGAGGAAGGAGGGAAGAAGAGTGAAGAGAGGGAGGAAAAAGGCAAGAAGGAGAGAAAGAGGGGAGAGCTGAGACACTGAGCAGTAACAGCAGGAAATGGGTTGATCCGGATAGGGGTAGATTGTGTTCCCTGTGTGGATTCAATGAGTCCACAGTCTTTAGGACTCGGAGAGGAACCAGGGAATTAGCTTAGCCTCTCGACTGCTAACGAGCCATGGATAGCATAAACAGCAGGAATTTGTTTTCCTTCTTTTTTTTTTATTGCCGGGCACACTTTTTAAATCAAATGCTAGTGATAGAAAGACCTGTCATCTTTGTTACCCCTCCCTGAACCTTCCCATCTCCACACTCAATATTTCCTTCTACTCACAACCTCAAAAACATCTTAATCTTACCCTCAAAATATATATCTAATATATTCTCTATATATTTTGTACTGAATTGTAGTTATAACGTACCATGCAATCTTTCAAGGACATTTAAAAGTCTCTTCTAAAGAACACAATTGTTGTGAAACTATTTACAGCAAATAACATTGTACCTGCATAGCTCTATTACTAAATATATTGTCAAAACATTTGTGATTTTTGCCGCCTGCCTATAATGTATTAGGCTTTGGCCCAATCACACAATCATTCTCAGTTTTGGCACCTTTCTCTCGGACTGAATTGCTAGGTTTTTGAAAATATTGCCTCATACATTCAAGACTAAGGATAGTGTGTTTTTTCTTTCCTTTTTTTCCTGTGATATCAGCTTTGTGCAACAAGACAAATACGGTTATGAACAAAGTTAGGCGCCCTAATGGAAGTTAAGTGTCCAACATGAAAGAGAGGCGTGTATTATGCAGCAACAAAGACAGTATGCCTTTATGCCAAACAGAAAAGGCCATCTGTATTAAAGGGCAGCATGCCTTTAAGAACCAACTGCCGTCAACTCCATTTGGCAAGAGTGCCTAACAACTGTGATCACTCAGACAGCGAAAACAAGCTACTGTAACCTAGCTTCCTTTGGCAAAGTCCTAAGAACATCATGCAAGCCACACAAATAGACTTTAAGAATAAAAGACAACCTATCTGACTAACGCAGCTATGCAGCATAATGATTAGAGTTTAATGAAGACACTGTGTGTAGAGGGGGGCTGGGGGTGTGGGCTAAATGTAGTGCACGCAAACGTAATGTGAGATGGCTGAGGTGGTTAATACTGTGCTTTAGTACATCCTTTAAGGGGTTTGCGTCTTCCTAAAAAGGTTGTGCAAGTGGCAGGATTGATTTTGACAAAGGCTGACTACATACAAACACAACAACAACTTTGCTATGCCTTCTCTCCCCCCTTTTCACTCTCTATCACTTGCATCCCCTCTCCTCCGGAAACATTATTTTCTGGCCAGCTTGTCTCTCACTTAGCTTACTTGTTTTAAATTATTCACAATTGCCTTTTTGCCCCTAAATATTTATTTGCCTTATTGTGCAAAGAGGAAGTAGACCAGGCTCTTAGGCAGTTTAGAAATCAACATGCTGTAGGCCAAGTTCTAGAGAGGATTACTGTAACAGTCCCTGAGAAGGTTGGGTGTACTTTTTTACACATTTCTCTACGACACATCGACTTCTAGCACATTGGGTAACCATTAGACTAGAGCATGCAGGTCATGACATGCATTACCTCTGAGGTGATTGGTGAACAGCCTTCAAAATCTTTTATAATATCTGGACTTCACCCCCCAACAACAGGAAAAACACTGTAAAGTGAGTATCTCTCTCTCTTACTCTACACGTATTATGGGAAATTACTATTATCTTTAAGTCTCAAACATATTTGCTTTTTACAGCTCCTCCTTGGAGATTAAAACTAAAGATAAATTGTTAGCATCAAGCTAGAATCTTTCAAGCTAAAGAGGAGAAAACCTCAAAGATGATCATCATAATAGTGGAGAGAGTGATTGAGTAGCTGGTGATTCCACTCTTGCAGTGGCCTATCATAAAGCCACAATATTGGTTATTACTTAGTTTAGTGTTTTTACCCACACTATGCTGTGCTTTCGGGGGGTGGGAGGGAGGCGTACAGATATTCATCTCCATCTAATAACTTTTATGTTAGCCGAGGATCAGCCACCAGCTTCTGGTTAGTTACCATTACAAAAATTAGCTAAGAAATACAGAGCAGCAGAGAGGTACAATGACTTTGTGCCTTCAGCCATCTTTGCAAAACAACACAACCAGTCCCACAATCTAGTCTCTTCTTCTTGTGTCACTCTTACAAAAAAAAAAAAAACATCTTAGGGGGCCTGTTATCTATTCCTACTAGCAGACTCGCACAGATCAGGCCCCTTTTGATCATCCACCCTATCAAACAAAGGTCAAGAAGCCATTTAAGTACCTTTGTTTTACATAAGTCACTTTCCAGCAGATTAATGGGGTAGTTTAAGGGGTTGGTGTTGGATTGTCCTATCCATAGAGAGCAAGCAAGTAGTGTGTGGTCCTGTCCATTTTTTAGTGAAGCAACCATTAGCCTGTCTGGTCCACTATCATGACCCTTGCTGCTGCTGCTTCTCTATTGTCCCAACTTTTGCCTCCACGCCGTTTTTACACACCGGGGCACTCACGCCGCCCTGTGAGTTCTTGCAGCGACAGCCAGGCCTGCTAACATTGTCGTAACACTTCTGTCCAAGTTTGGCCAGTCCAGTTGCTGGCAGATAGCAGACCAGGCAAGGCAGGACAAATGAAAGGGCAGCCATGAAGGACCAACGTGCGCAACAGTTAGCTTGGGAACATGAGCAGGGCTTGTCGGCACATGAGCCCTCGTCGTCCTCATCCTCGGTGCAGTGGTAGAAGATCCCTTTGACCAGGCACATGCAGGTGGCTGTATCCACCAGGCTCTGAGCAGAGCACAGGCACTCCTGGTTGCAGACCCAGCAAGAGGGTAGGGTTCGGGGGAGCGTACACTCCGTGCATCGGCACTTCCCGCAGTGCTCACAGAGAACAAGGTGCTTCTTCTCTGCCGGGGATGAAGGGATCACCGCCAAACCCTGCTGGCCTCCATTGGTGCACACGCCTCCTGCGGGCATCTTTGCAGACTTAAGGTCCAGCGATTTAGAGGAGGATGAGCAGGAGGAAGCAGAGGAAGAGGAGGTCAGGACTTTTGATTCAGAGGAAGGGAAGCAGCCTGGAGTTTGGGTTGTGATTGTGTTGACGGGGCCCTGGTGGGGATGCAGGTTTGGATGGTGGTCCACCGTTGGGGTAGGCGCAGCGTGGTCCAGCAGCCTCTGATCAGACGAGGTGCTGCTGCTGCTGCTGATGGAGCTGGGCCTCCCACTGAAAGAAATCCAAGGGTGGGTGGTGGTATCCTGGTGAGAGTGGGGCTCACACCTGCCTTGCTGGTGTTGATGATTGTGATGGTGGTTGTGGTTTGCCCCAAGAAAAGCATCCTGATTCTGACCAAGCCAGGTGATTCTACGGTTCACAGACTTCTGGCTTGGTGGCTGCTGGGAGACAACAGCCGGGCTGTCGATGTAGTCGTTTTCCACATGCGAGGACTTTATCTGGTCGATGGGGTAGATGGTGAGAGGGTGCTGAAGACGGCCGTAGGGCACTCTGCTGTCCAAGAGGGGCTGGGATATGAGAGAGGAGGACACTCCGGGGATGTGGTGGGGAACCCTGGACTCCATGTGTAGGCTGGTGCCTTGCACGTCTTCACTCTAAAGCAGCATTTAGCAAAACTGAAAAAAGACAGACACAAAAGAGACAGTTAAAACCAGCTTCATGTTCTGTTTAAGTTATTGCTCTTGTACCATTTTGAATAAAGGGTGACAGGGAAAATAACATTCCTTTATGTGTCTTTAACCAAACCAGGGTATATTGAAGTCAAGGTTTCAGGTAATTAGACATTAAATTAGTAAGAAAAAACACCTATTGCATTTTGCATTTAATCCCAAACATACAATTATATTGGAGGGGTTGTAAAGTGTCAATTTTAAACATATGTGGTATAATTTAAATGTCCTGCTTCTTTTGCTTCTGCTAATGACTTTTGTCATAATTGAACTACTTTTTTTCCACATGATATACAATGTATTGTATAACTATAATACATCTTACAATAACTATCTAAAGGAATTATTAGATTGCCAATCAACGCCTCAGACAATATGTAAAATTACATATTTTACAGGAAAGCTTGCCTAACCCAAGACGATTATTGCGTATTTTAAAACTCTTTCAACAGATACCGGATCTCTTGAATAATCTGAATGTAGAGTTTCCTAATGACCTTGATTGTTTAGACCAACAAGGTTTCAAACCTCCTCTATTCTAACTTTGACATTAGGACAATAGAAGTTTGGCTCTCATCGCCTCCTTTCCAAAGAGCAGGGAGCAATAGAGAGCAGGGCTTGCATGCAAAACACTCAAAGATGCAAAACAAGGCAGAGCAAAGAGATGAGAAGGTTTCCAGAAAAATATTACAACTAAGCCAATATTAACACAAGAGGCAAATATAAGGGTTTTGGAAAAATTACATCCTAATAAGCAAATAATATAATTGTGCCTACAATTGTATCAGTTTGAAGATTGTCCATGTTAAAACATGTATACACACACACATTTGAATCAGAGAGACACACCAATCTTGCAATTTGTGAATGGGTCAGATTTTATGAACTGCCGGTTTTTGTGAATGAAAACTGCTGGATGCAATCGGTGTTGCAAGCATGAATCAATGCGCTCCAGTCATGATGAACCTGAATGAAATCGGTTTCATCATTCATTTACACGCTGGGCAGACCGACAAAGACATAACATACAGATAATAAAAACGATGATTGACGACAAACGACATTTCGACTGACCTACATCTGCGGTGGCAAGTTAGTTTACAAAATCACCCCGCAAACCTAGCTAATTCAGACCCTGAGATGCATTATGGTTTTGATTGTATTCTTCCAAGGCACTCTGAATGTTACCAAGGACCTAAACGCTGTTGTGGTGCGGTTCATAACTGCTGATCGATGGTTTATTTTATGTAAACATGTGTCATGCTCGACACAGTTCTGCTTGACCGTCGGCTCGTGTTATTCTCCTATTTCCTCGGATTTCCAAAAGCCTGGTTGAGAAACCTGTTGTGACATTGCTGGCACCGACACAAGCGCTAGTGATCGTCAAATCTAGACCATTATAAACTCCAATCCGGAACATTGCGAGTTTAAGTGCGTGTGTGTGCGCGCGTGCAGTGCCCGTCCCTCCCTTTAATATGTGAATGGACTGAGTCATAAAAACTGGAGGCGGCCGCTCGGCATAGTCGAATAGCATGTATATAGGCATTTTATCCACGTATTGTAGCCTACACCTGATTGTATTTATATTCAACTGGACGAACAATGAAGCAAATGGTACACTCTCTGCCACCAGACAGGTTGAGGGATAGTTAAATCAGCGATGTTTAAATGCGTAGCTTGATGCCTTACCCTGGACCTTATGGCATCCGAAATAGGCAGATAAAAGACACATTTTTATATTTTCTTGGAAGTTAGCCGAACAGGATGAAAAGGCAATGGAAAAGACACCTGACACAACTGAAATGGTGCGCCAACCGCCGCTGCAGCGAGAACGAGACACACATCAAACCGCCCGAGATATGCTACAACATGAACAGCCATGGCTTCAGAGTGGACGGAGGTTTAGACAATATGGATCTGTTACGCTGACTGATATCGTGACATTGGCCGTATATGATGCTTCAAATAGAAACGCGTCATAGGTTGAAATACGTCTCTACTTTTAAAAAAGCGAACAAGTTACGCTTAATCGCGACACGGTTTCACCTCTCTATGACTACAACATTGCTTTTGATACGAAATCGGTTGTTAAATATTGACTCAAAGTGCAAACAAGGGTCCGCGAATCAGCTTGTTGCAAATAGAGTCTGCAAGAGCGTTTGCATGTGTAGGAAGTCACTGGATAAAGAGGGACAGTTCACTGCAGCAAGCAAATGGGGGCTCAATATTGTTTATGCAGCTTTACGCTCACAAGTTTCAATTATTTAACGATGAGAACCCATCAGGGTTAATCACTTACTGTGGTTTCAGGATACAATTCTCATCCCTTCGTTGCGCACGACGTTTGCGCGCAGGCAATAGTCCAGTCCCAGTGAGTGAGTAGCTCCACAGTAAAGATAAGTCCAAATGTTATGAAGTAATATGAGCACGGTAATCGAAAGGAGACGGGATCTCCTGCACTATTCTCCACTCGCTGGTGCGTAAGGCGACTGTGGACGCAGAGCTTTGGATATGGTGTTGCAACCACTGAGGGGGAGGGAAGTGAGTTTTTATGAATGGGAGGGTAGAGGAAAGGGAAGGGACGGCACTGCGCAGATGCCTCGGCTTTTTTCCTTTTTTTGTGAATGGGAGGGCTGAAATGCGGAGGTTACATTTTTATGAATGGGGAGGACTCCGAATGACATTGCGCAGGCGCGCTGCCGATATTTTTATGAATGGGAAGAAATGGCGATTGAGGCGTGTGTGTGTGTGTGTGTGAGAGAGAAGGGGGTGAGGGAATGAGGAGGTGGGTCTTTTTTTTGGTCACAAGGGCAATGTCAGGCCTGATTTACATAAAGCCTCGGCTCATCGGCTGTGGTGCCACTCTCGCTTTATTTTAGCCTGTTAATTTATTTATCTATGCAGCTCTCGCTTCCTGCAACACATTAAAGGAGACGCGATTATGGTGGTTTTGTGTAATAGACGAGAGGGGGAGCAAGATGTGAAATCTGCAATGAATTAATGTCTCATTTCATCCTGGCGAATTCAATCTTGAATATTCTTGTGATTCTGATTAATGGAGGGCAAACTGTCCTAATTAAAAACATAAAGATGCATGCATGGCCTGCATTTCAGGAAACAAAACATCTAAGCAAAGCCATCATCCCACATGTATGATACAAATGAGGTTGATGTATAAAAGCATGACGGCTATTTCTATTTTAATCTACATTTCTTCGATGTCGAGATAGCAAAAGCTATTTCTCAGGTCCATTAGGAAAAATAATGGCCGCTCCTCTTGTGTATCTGTTCTATCTAAATCCGTCTATTGCAAACAAGGACGTGTCCTTCCTTCCTCTGCAACAATGTGAGGTATGACTACAGCTTCTATCTATGGTAGTGTAAAAAACAGAGGAGATGAGGGGGAGGGGAGGAGAAGGGTGGGGGGTTATAACGCCTACTCTGAAATGCAAACCAGCATGAGGGCAGGCAGGATTCACAAAAGGACAGGATGTTGTTGATTTGTACCGAAACCACACGGAGGAAATGAGTCTGAATTTCCTTTCTCTCTGACATCCCAGTATGTGTGTGTGCGTGTGTTTCCCTGCAACCCCCCACCCTCACCGTCCTCCCCTCCCCTCCCTCAGCTTGGGGCTTTTAACCAGTCAAAGGTTAACAGTTGCCCCATTAGCTGTTTGCATACATCACCATGGAAACCACTACATCCCAAATTGTGATTATTGTTTTTTTGGATAAAAAGTATAGACAGAGAGAAAGAATCAGTGAAAGATAAAATGTAATTTTATTTGTATTTGGATGAATCAGAAACAAAAACAATTGTCCCTTAAGCATCCAGAATAGTCTATAAAACACAGAAAAAGGGTTTTAATCAACTGAATATGCCTTAATCATAAATAGTGTAATTAATATTGTCTTGAATATGTTTTTTATGATATGCCTGTAATAGTGTATTATAGAAATGTAAAGAGGTTTCTCAAGAGTATATTTACATGTATGACATTTTCATGCAGATATATAGTGTATATTTTAGGAATAGGAATCATATTGCAATCCTAAGAGGTTTTTATGAATCTGATGTAAATACTTCTGCATAGTGGCATGGGGGAAATATTTTAACCCATAATAGCTTTAGTCTAGTTTAAAATAGCATCACTCCATCTAAAATGCAGTATTGCAAAACAGCTTTGTTAAAACTCCATGATGTAATGCAGACTTGAAAATAATATGGCATTACTTTCTGCCTGCAGTGATCTTCTCAATATACAAGATAACTAAAATAAGCTCTTTAAAATGTATTATTAAAGAGCTTTCATAATAGACCAACACATATGGAAATCTCACATGGCAGCCTGTCTTTCCTTTTCCTCACATTTTTATTATTTCCCTCTATAACTCTCTCTGTCTTTCTCACACACACACACACACACACACACACACACACACACACACACACACACACACACACACACACACACACACACACACACACACACACACACGCACACACACACACATACACACACACACACACACACACACACACACACACACACACAGAGATGCACAAAGTCACACACTGTAGATACTGGCAGATTTCTGTGCGCAGCTGTGTGGCTTGCAGGCATGGTCCACATGAAGTGCTTGTTGAATTGTAGATTTCTTGTCGGTGTGATCATCCAGGCATACATGCACGGAAGGGAGGGCCTAGATTTCTCTCCGGAGTCTTCCCTCCCAGCTTTCCTTCCTGCCACATCTGCTGGCTACTGCTGTGAGCTTGAGATGTCTAATGGACAGTCCCATCTGCTTCCACAGCAATTTGACATATCAAATGTTGAAAAATGTTTCCCTGCGCTTTGAAAAACAAAAAACGTCTATTATTTTAAGCCCATTCTTTATTCGAACCTTGGAAAAAATCTGTAGTTGAACCATTATTCCCACCTCAGTTTCTTCAGAATCCACATACAGATATTTCTTTCTAAATCAAATTACAATGCCAATAACCTTCTCGTGTATCACTTAAGTCTATCACTTGTTGTATTTCACTAATCTATTGCTGTTTGTCAATCTTGTACTTCCTGATTGTTCCCAAGACACAATCTCCTGAGAAAGGCTTTTGATTGTTCCCTGACTGTGTGTATTTGTGTGTCTGAATGTGTGACACTGCTTAAATGCAAATCACAGCGATAGCTCTACACAGAGTACTCACAGCTTACATCAAAAGCTTCCTGTTGCAGGTAAGCCATCATTTACATCGCAACAGGGTTACCCTAACCCTAACCCTTGTGACACCACATAATACACATCTCTCACCAATTAACAGCTGTGTGGGGCTGCAGTTGCAACAGCCTGAAGGTGCTTTTCACACCAGGTCCACATCTTTCCCTCCTAAACATAAAATACAATTTTCAATAGAACATGAAAGGATGATCAAAAATCAGATCATTTTTGAAAGATTACATAATTTGTGGTATTAAATAAACAACATGCAGGAAACGGTACTCAGTGTGCACTTTTAAATAATGTCTATCTGAAACAGCTCATTCAGAAGAAAGTTCAAAGATTTTCCCAAAAAGTTTAATGGATCCCAGACAATAGTAGCAGTAAAAAAACGTGAGTGGGAGATACAAAAAAACTGTTGCTACCCCACAGAGTACTTCATATTTCTTACGGGCTCTGTCCTTGTGCTTGCTTCATGTAAATATGTGTGTTGTTCAGAAACATTGCACAGTCATTTTACCTCCTAACTCTAAGCATTGGTCATCTGGTGTATTCAGAAGGGCGACTTCCCCTACTTATCACAACAACTCGGCTTGGTCATGATGACATTATTTCCGGTTGTGGAGAATATTTGTTAGTCAAATTTACAAAATGTAACCATATAAATATCAACATATTTAGGTTAGGAAGGGCATTCCATTGCTATATATGGTAACATAGATGGAATGCTAAACTTTTGTAAATGTATATTAACCATAACCATACATATCATTGGAGAGGGAATTTAGCATGAAGATTAAAGCAAGCATGAAGTAAATTGATTACTTATTCATTCATTGTTAAAAGCGGCCATTATTTTTCCTAAAATAGTTAACCAAATTTCCCCTATAAATGCTGAAAACTGTAATGGATAAACAGTTGGAATAGTTAGCTACTAGTTCATTGTTAAATGGTTGAAATAGTTAATGAAAAGCATTTAAAATAATGGGATAATTAGATGGTATACATACCAGTAGTTGACGTATTGAATACAATTGAGTAAAAGTAGTGGATAAACTGATGTCGTACATTCAACTAATAGATCAATTGTAACTGGAACTCCAAGTGTCATCAGACCAAATGCAGACTTTGTCAAAGTACCAAACACTGATGATTCAATTTGACAAAAAATGACCAATAACCAATATTTATGTTTATTTTTAATTGTGTGAAAAAACATCCCTTAATAATCATCCATAATCACACATTTGGAGCATGATGGGTGAAGAAGGGGTACTTGAGCTCATTTCAAATGGCTGGTGGCAGTACATGTGTTTGTGAATAATGTTACCGTAAGGGTGTTTTTTTCCTATTTTGAACAGTAGGGTAGGCTTATGTCCAAGAATAACATAATTAGCTAATGTAATGATGGGTTTTAACCTACAATAACAGTCAAGCTGAGCAAGCTGAGAGCGGCATTGTAGAAAACTCTATAGTCTCCCTACAGTAAGAGGCGGATCCCAAACACAAGTCCAGGTAGCTTCAACTCCTCAAATATTGACTTCCTTCCTCGCTGCCCGCTTGGTCAGGAGGTGTGTTTGTGTGCTTTGGAGTCCGGAGATGTGTGTGGTAAAAGAGGTAGGAAGGAGGGTGGGGGCGCATGTATGTGTGGTTGTATGAATCTGTGTATCCACATCCATCAAAATAAAGAGTTTGATGACTTTGGCATGCCCTCGTTGCACCATAATAGGATACATTAGCCCTAATTCACTTAGAGCCATTAGAGGGCTTAGAAATTCCTGTAAAGGAAAAACAACACAGAGGCTAAATGAGCTACACTGGCTCAGCTTCCATACAACAGGTTTTTCTGTAACACTATCATAGCTATTGTGTTACTTTAAATCAACTGTATATTTGTAGATACAAACTTTTTTTGGGTCATACAAATGTGCCACTTTCAATTCATTTTGCATGAGCATTTGACATTTTGAAAGGAAATCTCTCGACCAGTAATTTGACATGGTTACGCATCAGGAAATTAGTGTTGTGGCTCCATAGTCACACCCATTGTTGGAAAGGCTGGTCCGTTAGCAGCCGTGAGCCCATAAGACTTTGTTGTTTTTTTGTTTTGGGCTACCGTTTTGGGAAATGTGGCCTCATCTGGTCCCGGTTGGTCCCACTTCAGATAATTTAAGTGACAAATGCCATTTAGCTGAAGCTTTTCTCCATGATATTAAGGGCAATAGTGTTTTATTGAGCATAGGCCTTCAAAATACTAATATAAATATAACTATGAATAGTCTGAAGAGCCATCACACCTTTTTAAAGTGGGAAGAGAACTCTATACTTTATTTGGTGAAAACAAAGCAAATAAGCAATGATCAG